AGATAACCTTTCAGATGTTTTCTGTATTGTATACTGTTCCTGAACTGTTCACCTTGCATCCAAACGTGGCTTCTAGGATATGGAAAGAAGTAATCGCTCAGGAAAGACCAGAATTATTTAAGGCTCTGATTGGCATATGGAGGAACATAGTGGGGGTTTACTTCTGGTGAAGAGTCATTAGGTAGTCAGTTCCTGTGTGCATAAATTTGGGAAGTTCTGCCTTAAAAAGCATGTAGGTCAAGTTATAAAAATGTAATCTGAAGTTACAGATTTTTCTGTGCTTGCTTTTTCTGTAGCATATTCTATTAAATTTTATTTACAAATTTGAAAGGGGAAAGAAATACTGTGTTGGGTTTCTTGTAAGTAATGGTTTAGTGAAGTTTTCATAGAATCATATGGGTTTGGGTTGGAAGGGACCTTAAAGGATCATCTATTCCAACCCCTTTTCCATGGGCAGAGACATCTTTCACTAGATCAGGGTTTTTTTTGTTTTCCAGTTATTACAGGATTATGAATTGTTTCCTGAAGCAACTGATACCTCTTCTGTTCAATCATCTTTTTGGCCTTGAGTTTACTTTTTTCGCATCCTGACAGTGAGGAATAAATCAAAGTAGCCAAAGCTGGTTTTGACACCCTGTGGAGTTTGCATGTACACATTAATGTTAGACAGGTTCAAACAGTTATTTTTTCATCAGAAACTCATAGCAGCACAACATGGTTTAATGTGGTGAGGGCTTCTGTAGGAGTTAACGCTGAGCTCGTTGAGAAGCTACCAGTATTTTTCCCTACTGCCTCTTTTGTCAGGGAAACATAAACATTTTGTTGCTGTATCTCTTGAACTTTTCTTGACTGGTTTTTTCCTCTGGTGCATTCAAGTCTGTAAAGAGTGCAGACTGCTTGCTGGGAAAGCCAGGCTCCATGCTGACAACAGAGGGTGGCTGCTGTTAGAGTGGCCAGGAACTCTCAACCTGGTGTAGGAGTGTGTTGCAAAAATTATCGAGTTTGGACTTTTCTTTCAGAAAACAACCTGTGGAAAACTTTTTAGCATGTTTTCCATGGGCAAAAGGCTTTTGATGGGGGCAGAGCTGTCTTTGCCAGCAGTGCATTTGTTTGGAAGCTGCTATTTTTGGCCTGTTAGCTTCTGAGTCTTTTGTAACAGCAGAAAGAGGAAGTGAACAGTGAAATCCCTTCAATAACATATTTCCTGGTTGAAGTGTCTTATCTGTGAGGCCTAGACAGAGGAGATGTCATTTCCTGGATTACTTCTCTTCAGTCTGAACGGTCTGTTTTACTGCGTAATCTTTGAACCCAGCATCTTAATTGCAGTGAAATTTTGTGTTAAGTAATGTAAACTAGGTCTTTGGATGAAAATAGAAAGGTTTAAGGAAACACCTTTTGACAAAGACAGGTCTTTCATAAATGACATGTTGATACAAACTTGAAATATCTTACCTTAAGATTTTGTTTATAAGCTTAAAATCTTACCTCTGAAAGAGTATGATAATAAGGTTTGTCCACAGGGATAAAAAAAGGATATGTTTTCTCCTTCTCATGATGATGATCCTAATCACCTCTCTTTGACACCAGCTACAGCTGGCTGTCCTCAGGAGTTAGGACACTTCCAAATAGTTAAAAGTCAGTTGCACTGTTCTCAAATTTCCAATCATTAATAGTTGCTTGTGAAAATTGTTACCTGAAGTCCATGAAAAAGAAGCAGAAAGCTAATAAAAAGTTAGCTGCAAACATGGTTCTTAGTTTTTATAGCCCACAAAAGAGCCATGGAATCAGAACGACATGGGGAAAAAACAGTGCCCCCTGAAATTATAATATACAGCTGAGAATAAATCGGAAGTTAGAGTAGGTTTGGGCCTTGTAATCCGACTTCACTAAAATTCTTGTTGTGGGTGATAACTTTATTCTCTTCCCTGACATTCTGCATAAGATAGAAGTCAAATGCACTATAAATGTGTTACTTGGTCAGCCTCTAAAATATCTTTTGCATGAAAAGCTTTAAAATACCAAATGGCCCCACCTTTCTCCCCTCCAAAATACAAAGAGCAAAAATAGGCCTTGCTGATTTATGCGATTCGTTTTTGCATCTCCTTTAAAATGTCTACCCTGTTGTCAAGCGATCATGAGAATCTTATGTCAGTCGCAGTGAAAGAAGAATGTTGGAGTTAGGTGTTGTGTGTGGACTACCAGCTAATTGGGATTGATACTTGACTGGGCTAAAAGGTGTCCCAGCTGTTCTCCATTTTTTTTTCCTACACATTGGAAGGTGAGGATCCATATTTCTGCTCACACACTGTGCTACAGAATCAGATGTACTTTTTAAAGGTAGTGTTTGCAAAATAAAGAGTATTATGGATTCTATTACATTATCTTGCATGAAGTCACCTTAAGTCAGTACATTCTGTTGGATTTGTCCAGGTTCTTGAGCAGACACTAATCCATAAGTATTTAACAACTTTGCTACTTTGGTTTCTTTTTGTTGTATCTTTTGTAAAAATGTCATAAAAATGAAGAATAGGTAATAAGTCTTCTGTCCCTCTGAAAGATGAAAATGATGTCCTGGTGCATCACTCCTTTCTCCTTAGCGGGTCTTGCAGGAACAGTTATGGTCAAGGCTGAAATAATTCCTATGAATACTGTTATTAAAGTAATAAGATTGATACTCTGCCTTCTTCATTGACTTCCCTTTTTGCTTATTAACACTGTTTTATGTTTCTTTCTGTTACAAAGTTCTAAAACTTGATGTTTACGACCTTCATAACAGTTCACATTACATAGATGAAAGAGTAATACTCCACCTTTTCTCAGTGCAGCACTGGAAATAAAGGTGTTAGATAGAGAATGTTTGAGGTTGCAAGGACTTCTTGAGATCATCTAGTCCAACACCCCTGCTTGTTGCAGGGTCAGCTACAATAGGTTGCCCAGGACTGCGTCCAGTCAGGTTTTGAATATCTCTAATGATGGAGACTCCACAATCTCTCTGGGCAATTTGTTCCAGTACTTGACCACTCTCACAGGAACAAAAAAGTGTGGTGTTCAGATAGAATTTCATGTGGTTTAACTTGTCCCTGTTGTCTCACCCTGCCAGTGAGCACTACCTTTTCTTCAGTCCTTCCCATCAGGTGCTGAAACACATTGATGAGCTCCCCTGCCCTGAGTCTTCTCACCTTAGCCTGAAGATGCTCAGCTCTTTGAGCCTTTACTCTTTTGAGAAGTGCTCCAGTGCCTTAGTCTTCATGGCCATTTGCTGGACTCACTCTAGTGAGTGTTTGCCTTTCATGGTTTGGGGAGCCCAGGAGTGGACATTTACACTCCAGGTGTGACCTCATGATTGCTGAATAGAGAGGAAGGGTCACCTGCTGTTCACCAGGACCCTTGGGTCCTTCTTTGCAAAACTGCTGTCCAGCTTGTCAGGCCCCAGCCTATACCTGGTTCCTGGCCTTGTTCCTCCCCAGGAGCAGAACTTGGCTTTTCCAGTTACTGAACTTTGTGATAGCCTTCTCTATCCAGAGAAGAAGTAGCACAGGGGTGCACTGCTAGCAACTGGTCTCCAGCTGGACTTTGGGCCACTGATCCCAGTCTTCTGGGCCTGGTCTTTCAGCCAGTTTTTAGTCATTTGTCTAACCTATACTTCATCAGAGTGTCTAGATGCTTCCCAAGTCACTTTCATTTGTTAGGAGGTAAAACAAATAAATAAATAGCAATCAAATCTCTTTAATTTTGAAGATGGTCTAAACCATTAATATGTTTTGTGGTGAAAAGTGACATCTCCACAAGATGAAGTGTTATTTGTATATGTACATGTTTAGGACAAAGTGGCATTTAAAAGGTATTTAATAATCTTAGGCCTTACCTTTGACTTTATCCAGGTAGATACATCATTGGAATGAGTATAATAATTTTTGTGATATTAGCAACAAATGATGTCTTCCCAAGTATACTGAGAAAAACAAGCAGGTTGTTAGCTGCAGCCTCAGTTATTAAGAAGGCTGAAAAGCTGTCTAGTTCTGTTGTCTGCCTATTAATAAACATGATGTGGTCTCTGACTTAAATCTCTGTGATGCCCTGTCAAGGCTCAAAAACCTGAAGAAATAGTCTCAGGATTTTGTTCTTAGGGCAATGAATAAAACTGCCAGTTCAGGCAAAACAGTGGAGATGCTGACAGTGAACGGAGTCTTCGGCAATTATTAGTATCCGAGACTAATTTCTAGTTTTATTTGTCCCTGTGTAACTGGAAAGGTCTTTGTGTTTGAAGAGTAATTTTTTAAGGTTCTTCCAGGTTGCTGAAAGGTGGAATTGACTTAAGTCTTGTAACAGGCATTAAAAATACTATTTTTAGTTTAGATTTGGTGATCTCATCCTTTGCCATTTTAAGAGGTCTCAGTTGTTTTCTGCTGAGGCATTGATAATTGGTAGCAGAACGGCATGTAGAGTTCTGGCTTGTCTTCTTCGTGGCGTTAGAAAAAGTTATCTGGTCTTGAGAGCCTAAATTACATGGTGAATTGTCTTAAGTTTAGGTCATATTCTGCTTCCTAGAAAATGTGTGGTTGTTTTTTGAATATCCAGAATGGGAAGGGAGAGAGACTGTGATCAAAGCAATAATATGGATAATACAAGCACAAAGTTTTGCAGGAAAAGTGTAAATGGAAATAAGAAAAATGGATTGACTGAACTCAGTGTCTTAAGTCAGTGTTTAATGGGTAAGATTACTTACTGGTTAAGACTGAAACTCCTACTCCAGTTTAAGTCCTAGTGCCACTAATCAGTGGTAATATATCTGTACTGTTTATAGACCAGCTTGGAGCCAGTCAGTGTGGGTTAGCTTCTCTGCTGGTTTATAAACATACTTGAGAGCTTGTTTGATTTGCCTACTAGGAATGTAATGCATGCTTGAATAATATATAATCAGTCCCTGTGTAGTAGTTTTAGGGAAGTTGTTAATTAATGTTTTAGAACTCAATTAACTTTTTTTTTTTTTCCAGGATGGCTTGAATTCTTTGGTCCTTGATCTGGATTATCCAGCGCTGAGGAAGAACAAGAACATTGATAATTTCTTAAATAGATGTAAGTTGCAAGTGGCCCTTAAACAATGACATTGTTGTGATCTCAGTCACAGGAGGCTGAGTGGTCAGAAATGCATTGCTGATGTTCATTCTACTGATTTTTATAACATGTGAGTTTCTGTATTCAGAAGGCTTTGGAGGACCATTTATTACAGAGAAGTTTCATATATGATTCCCCAAATGAAAATGCCAGCTGTAGATATTAATTTTCTCAACTACAGTTGGAAAAATCCATTAAAGTGAATTTTTTATCTTGCATATGTGTGGCTACGTAATTTGCTAAGCATATCCCAGTTATTAGTCTTTAGGAATTCATTACTCAAAATGTCAACATTGTATATACAGTCGTATTTAATCTAACAGAGAGGCCTTCTGTGGATTTTTAAACCTAAATTTTTGTACCTTAAAATCTGTTTGTGTATTTTTTAACCTATGCAGAAAAGTTTGCAATTCTCCCCAAATTATTTGTAGACAGGATCTTGGGTGTTTTTTGAGTATATGAAAATGGAAAAGTGTTACATTGGAGTAGCTGTATTTTGTCTTTTTAAAGTGCTTTCTATCCATGTATATAAGCAGCAATTTTTTCTTGTAAAAATAGTGGATTATTTGTTTTAAAATGTAAGTTGCAGTGAATAAGCCTTCTTGGAACAACTATACTTTGTAGCAAGCATACTTTGACTTACAAATTTTTTTTAAAAAAAACCTTTTCCATTGCATATATCGAGGTCACAGTTTTATCAGTGACTCCTCTAGATTCTTTACTCTAAGAGCTGTGTGTGTCTGCCTTCTGTTGCCCTGGGACTCTTTGGAATATCCACTCATGCTCCTCAGTTAAATTGTGACTGGTGTAGTAATTTGTGGAGAGTTCTTTTGTTTGCAATTCACTGCTTCTCTGTGAGGTTTAGCAGAGCCCTGTAGATAGACATTGCAGCTTTACAATTGCAAGTAAATTCTCATTTGGAGAAATCACTTAAAATACAGTAAATGAGGAAGAGCAGATTAGGAAGTAGAAGCATACTTTGGGATTATTCTGTTTGAGTTCAAAGGAATTCAAGCAGATATTTGTGAAATTGATTTGTGAGGTCTGGAACAGCATTTTATACACACAATGCACAGCTGCAGGTAAGGAAAATAATGTGATGGGAAAGCCCCTTGAAAATGACCTAAATAACATTTATCAGTAACTTCTATGAGCTGTTCAGATTCACCTTTACGTTACTATTTCTGCAGTAGGACAAAATTAGAAACCTTTTCCTAATCAGAAGACTTGTATCTTCTGACTGTTAGAAATAGCAACTGTGGGGAAACTAACCTTGGAAACAGGATGGGGTTTTTTGTTTGTTTTCTTCAGTCCCTGAACATTCTTGCTATCTTCCCTCTTTTGAAGGCTGTTGTTCCTTCTCCTCCTCCAGGTTCTCTACCATTGTTGTAGTAAATAGTATTAAGTATCTGATATTGTCTGCAGGCTACCGGCAATGGCAGAAACCTGAAAATATACTTCTGTTCACAATTTTATTGCTGCCTTTTTTTTTTTAAAACCAGCTGACAGTACACAGTTGAAACAACCAGGTACTAGTTAAAGACTATTCTGAGATATATTGCAAAAATTTACAAAAAATAGTTAACAAAGAGTTTTCAGGGGTGCACTTCATCCTTAGCTGTTGAGCTTTAAACAGAGTGTAAGAGCTGATTATTTTGGCTCACACACTGTGTGTCTGTGCATCTCTCTTAAGAGTCACCCATGTAACTTCTCTCCTGTTTCCATACTGCCTGGGAGAGAATGAAAAACAGTACTGTGTATCTAATGTGATTTACACTTCAACAAAAAAAAAAAATTCTGAAATGAGAATTTTGTAAACATTTGAGTCTGGTAATATTTTGGCATTGCAACAGAAATAATCAGTCCTGCCACAGTGAGGCCTTTCTGACACAGGTGTTGGTGTGGTTTGTTATTTACCAGATTGAGGAACTGGTTTGTTTTTACTTTTTGTTAAAACTAGTCAGGCAAAAGAAAAGCAAAGACCAGTTTCTGATTTTTATTTCATTTCACTGATATTTCTGCCAGCATAAAATGAGCCGCTCAGGTGCAAGAAAAAACACAGCAACAACTGGGTTCTTACTGGTATTGCCATTTTATGCAGTTTAAAAGTTGCTGAGCCCATAGCTCACATCTTTGTGGAAACTGTGCTGAGGGTAGCAGGTATCAGTGGCAAGAGCGTTGCACGTGCTTCCTGAAACCTCTTGCTACCTTGGGCTTTGCAGAAGAGTTGGCAATTGTATTAAGAATTTATGGAACTGTAAGTTGTTGCTCTCTTAGGTTAGGGAACAGTGAGTTCTTGTCTCCTGTGATTTTTCTGAGCATCTGAAGAGCTGCAGCAAATGCCTAGTTGAGAATTACTGTCAAAAGGTTGTGACAGACTCTGATGAGCTGTCTGTGCCAGGGGCCTGGAGCCTGAATCCCTTCTCAGGGCTTCCTGAGGCAACCCCAGAGAGGTTCAGGGCCATCCTGTGAGTTAGCACTCCTGTGCACAGTGAAGCAGCTGAGGCAGAGTTGTTGCTTGTGATTGTTTTAATCCATATTACACTAATGTTGAAAAGTTATGGAGAGTGCTAAATAATCATCACACTTTTGGTCAGTTTAATTACTTAATTCTTCCACAATAACACTTGGAGAAGGAATTTTTTTTTCCCTGCCGTATTGCCATTTGCGTAGACCTTACTTCAGACCTATGTCAAGTCATTAGTATTCAGGTTAATGTTCTATTAATAGCTTATTTTAATTTCAAAATGAAATAGTTTGCATCTCAGCTGATACATTAATTATGTTCAGCGCAACTCATAGTTTCAAGCTGAAACTCAAATGTTTTAACTCATTTCACAAAGGCAATTTATTAATTGCCCATACTATAGGAGTTTGGTGTATCCTGTTTCTGTGACCACCGTGCAGAAGCAGCCTCTTCACGTGTTTAGTATGCAAGAAAGTCTTTCATTTCCTGCTTTCCCTTACTATTGTGATTTCTTAGCAGTTTCTCTAAGGTGCTGAACCAAAGTGGAGCCTGTACTTGTTATAAGAGGTACCTGAGTATGTCATATAATACAGCCATTCCTTTTCAGTCTTACGTGTTCAACTGTTTGGATTCTGGTTAAATTGATGCTTTTTTAGAGTATTCATGGAACAGGAAAGCATAATGCAATATTTAATTCCCAAAACAATGAGAGGAATCTCACAGTCCTCTGAGAGCAAGATCTATTTTGCCTATTTTAGAAAAGAAGGCTCAGTTTTCCAGCATGTGCTTGGTATAACAAATCTTTCTTAGTCTTTTCTTTTCCTCTTCTGTCATCTAGGCCAAGACAATAGGTTGAGTTAATTCTTCCAAGTCACTTTTTCCGTCATCTGAGATTTGCCAAGTGTTGAATCATATCTTAGTGATTTGTGCCTTTTTTGGTGGTCTCCCATTCAGGTGCTACTTAGCCTGTTAGCTGCTTTCACTTCTGGGAGCAGAAAGTTGAATAATTAAACAACAGCTTTAAGCAACAGTTGAAAATATTTAATGTATAATATTATCATCAGGAATAGAAGGGCATGAAGAATGGATTCTGAGTACAAACAGCAGCGCAATCAACAGGCCTGATACAATCCAGCAGGTTTGATGCCCTAAATGGATCAGTGATTGCCTATGCATTAGCCAGCATCGCACAAGAACTAGAAACCTGTGTTGTTAAAATGATTTGCTGGTGCTTTGTAGGTTGGAATATCTGTAGAATCTAATGGCAATGGATGTATTTACAGTAGAAGGAACTTTTAGCACAGATGTGACACTTGTGCAGCAGCTTTTCTAACCTCCGGAATAAACTTCCTGGGAAGTTGCTTTGGCCATTTTCCTCTCCAAGCAGACACTGCTTACTTGGAAGATTTATTTGTTAAGATTAATTTCGTGCAAATTTAACAGTTCTGGTTCCTTCCCTTGCATTTCATTGTGTTGCTTGAAGTTGCTGAATCATACACCAGCTGTGTGCTTACCAACAGAAATGTGTGATCCTGTATGGTGTGAGTGCCTGCCATGCCTGTAATTCTCGGTGGCCTGTGTTTCCTGTCAGCCACACTGATGAAATGTCAGGTGTCAAGAAGAGCCTCAGAAATACTTCGCACTGTAGAACTTATATTGAGTTAAGGTGCTAATAGCTCCTCTGTTTTTTCTCTTGGCTTCTCTAAGGCCACGCCTTGCCAGGTCTTTGCGGCCACCGCAGCAAGTTGGGCTCCAGTTCCATTCTTAATGATATTGTTCTAGTAAGAGTTAGGGTTTGGAGAGGTATCAAATAAACAACGTTTTCAAGCAGAGCATGGAAGCCACAGTGTTTAAGACAAAATGTCTTAGATATATAAACAAGTTGTATGTCGGTGTTATTAACCACTTTTCCATTTGGGTACTTGGTAGATAGAAAGCAATTTAGTCCTGCCATCAGACTTACTTTCATTAAGTCAGGGATGTGTTCTCTGCAAGCCAGAGGGCTTCTGCTTTGTGTTTCCCTGCCCTCTGCTCTTTTTGCCTATGCAAGACAAAATCCTTCTTGTGTCCCCCTTTCTTTTCTCTGGAGGGGGAAGCACTAGCCTGTCTGAAGCTGTGCCTTTTAGTTTGCACTGCTTCTGCAAGGTCTCCAGCAGCTTCTTGTTCTTCACACACCTTTGACCAGATATTATGTGTGCACCTCTAATTACTTTCAGTCTTTCTGTTGTGCTTTTTGTTTGGTTTAGGTCGAGTGTGGGATTGCAGCATTTTCTGGCTGTACTTCAGTTTAGCTTCTGGCTGGACTTTTGCCTAGGGCAGCAACTTCTGATTTAATGTATTCCATAACAGCACTCATTGACTGTGTCTGATCTGTGGGGTAAAATTGCACTCCCTTGCATTTTTTATTCCTCATATATGCGCACCCCAGAACTGCTTGATACACATTCTGGTTTTTTAAAGAAAGTAATAATCTGCACGTGAACTTTTTTTCTTG